CAAAAGGCTACTTAACAGCTTCTACCCCCAAGCCATAAGACTGCTGAACAATTAATCAAATGGCCACCTGGACTATTTGCATTGACCCCCCCCCCCCCCCCATTGTTTTTACACTGCTGCTACTTGCTGTTTATTATCTATGCATAGTCACTTTACCCCTATCTACAGTTGAAGTCGGAAGTTTACATAGACCTTAGCCAAATTGACCCCCCCCCCCCCCATTGTTTTTACACTGCTGCTACTTGCTGTTTATTATCTATGCATAGTCACTTTACCCCTATCTACAGTTGAAGTCGGAAGTTTACATAGACCTTAGCCAAATACATTTATACTCAGTTTTTCACCATTTCTGACATTTAATCTTAGTAAAAATTCCCTATCTTAGGTCAGTTAGGATCACCACTTCATTTTAAGAATGTGAAATGTCAGAATAATAGTAGAGAGAATTATTTATTTCAGCTTTTTCTTTCTTTCATCACATTCCCAGTGGGTCAGAAGTTTACATACACTCAATTAGTATTTGGTACCATTGCCTTTAAATTGTTTAACTTGGGTCAAACGTTTCGGGTAGCCTTCCACAAGCTTCCCACAATAAGTTGGGTGAATTCTGGCCCATTCCTCCTGACAGAGCTGGTGTAACTGAGTCAGGTTTGTAGGCCTCCTTGCTCCCACACGCTTTATCAGTTCTGCCCAGAAATGTTCTATAGGATTGAGATCAGGGCTTTGTGATGGCCACTCCAATACCTTGACTTTGTTGACCTTAAGCCATTTTGACACAACTTTGGAAGTTTGCTTGGGGTCATTGTCCATTTGGAAGACCCATTTGCGACCAAGCTTTAACTTCCTGACTAATGTCTTGAGATGTTGCTTCAATATATCCACATAATTTTCCTTCCTCATGATGCCATCTATTATGTGAAGTGGACCAGTCCCTCCTGCAGCAAAGCACCCCCACAGCATGATGCTGCCACCCCCGTGCTTCACGGTTGGGATGGTGTTCTTCGGCTTGCAAGCTCCCTCTTTTTCCTCCAAACATAACGATGGTCATTATGGCCAAACAGTTATATTTTTGTTTCATCGGACCAGAGGACATTTCTCCAAAAAGTACGATCTTTTCCCCATGTGCAGTTGCAAACCGTAGTCTGGCTTTTTTATGGCGGTTTTGGAGCAGTGGCTTCTTCCTTACTGAGCGGCCTTTCAGGTTATGTCAATATAGGACTCAGTTTACTGTGGATATAGATACTTTTGTACCTGTTTCTTTCAGTATCTTCACAAGGTCCTTTGCTGTTGTTCTGGGATTGATTTGCACTTTTCGCACCAAAGTATGTTCATCTCTAGGAGACAGAACGTGTCTCCTTACTGAGCGGTATGATGGCTGCGTGGTCCCATGGTGTTTATACTTGCGTACTATTGTTTGTACAGATGAACGTGGTACCTTCAGGCGTTTGGAAATTGCTCCCAAGGATGAACCAGACTTGTGGAGGTCTACAATTTGTTTCCTGAGGTCTTGGCTGATTTCTTTTGATTTTCCCATGATGTCAAGCAAAGAGGCACTGAGTTTGAGGGTAGGCCTTGTAATACATCCACAGGTACACCTCCAATTGACTCAAATGATGTCAATTAGCCTATCAGAAGCTTCTAAAGCCATGACATCATTTTCTGGACTTTTCCAAGCTGTTTAAAGGCACAGTCAACTTAGTGTATGTAAACTTCTGACCCACTGGAATTGTGATACAGTGAATTATAAGTGAAATAATCTGTCTGTAAACAATTGTTGGAAAAATTACTTGTGTCATGCACAAAGTAGATGTCCTAACCGACTTGCCAAAACTAAAGTTTGTTAACAAGAAATTTGTGGAGTGGTTGAAAAACGAGTTTTAATCACTCCAACCTAAGTGTATGTAAACTTCCGACTTCAACTGTACATTTACAAATGACCTCTACTAGCCTTTACCCCCTCACATTGACTCGGTACCGGTACCCCCTGTATATAGCCTCATTATTGTTATTTTATCGTGTTACTTTTTATTTCTTTAGTTTATTTAGTAAATATTTTCTTAACTCTATTGTCTTAAAAGTGCATTGTTGGTTAAGGGATTGTAAGTAAGCATCGCACGTTAAGGTTGTATTTGGCACATGTGTGTCACGCTCTGGCTCCGGGACTGTGTATTTTGAGCCAGGGTGTGTTCATTTGGTTGTGTTTGGTATTGGTTGTGTTGTATTTGGATGTGTTTCCTTGTTTGGTCGTGTGACTCCCAATCAGTGGTAACGAGTGTCAGCTGTCGGCTCGTTATCTCTGATTGGGAGCCATATTTAAACTGTCAGTGTTCACCTTAGTGTTGTGGGTTTTTGTTCCTTGTCAGTCATTATAACTGAGGACTTCACGATTCGTCATTGTTTGTTGTTTTTGTAGTGAGTACTTTAATTTAATAAAGTCATGTTCGCTCAACGCGCTGCGCTTTGGTCTCCCTCATTAGACGATCGTGACAGAAAAACCCACCTTAACCAGATCAAGCAGCATGAAGAAGAGAGAGGATGGACTTGGGAGCAGTTGAGTAGGAGTCTCGACTGGGCCAAGCCAAGAGAAGAGGAGAGAGGTTGGACTTTGGAGCAGTGGGGTGATAGTCTGGCGAGAACGATGGAGGCCTGGTCCACGAAGAGGAGAGAACCCCAGAAATTTTTTAGGGGGGGGCTCACGACGTCGGACCAGCAGGAGGCCGCGATAGAGCGGTCCAGTGGGTTGCCGGAGGAGGCCGTCGGGTTACGGGGGCCACTGGTCGAAGAGGGGATGGAGGAAGTAGAGGCACGGCGAGAGGTACTGGCGTGTGTTGCCAGTCCGGTCCGGCCCGTTCCAGATCCTGGTGTAGGGCCAGTGGTGTGTGTCCCCAGTACAGTCCGGCCCATCCAAGCTCCCCGCACCAAGCCAGTGGTGTGCGTCGTCAGCCTTGTCCGGCCCGTTCCTGCTCTCCGCGCCAAGTCTGTGGTGCGCGTCGCCAGCCCTGTCAGACCCGTGCCTGCTCTCCGCACCAAGTCTATGGTGCGTTTCGTCAGCCCTGTCCGGCCCGTTCCTGCTCTCCGGGTCTTGGGCGCCCCAGTCCGGCCCATATGGTGCAGTGGTTCGTCGCCAGCCCGTCGGCCGTCGCCTGTTTCCGCACCAAGTCTTTGCTTTCGTCCGCCGTCCGGCCTGTCGCCACTCGCACACCAGGGGTGCTAGGCCGCCATCCTGGTCCCCCCGTTCCTGCTAACTCTACTCTCCGACCAAATCCAAGGTGCGATCTTCAGCCGGATTCACCCTTCCTGCTCCTGCACCAACCAAGGGTGCGAGTCGTCAGCCGGATTCAGCCCATTCCTGCTACTTCCACCAAGCCATGGTATGCGAGTCTTTCAGCCTGGTGAGGGCCTGTTTCCGGCGCCACGCACCATGCAAAAGGGGTTCGTATCCGTCTGCCAGGGTCCGGTCCATTCCTGCCTCACTCGCCCAAGCCAAGGGGTGCGCGTCTGGCAGCTCTCTGATCCAGCTAACTGGGTCAGATCGGACTGGGGGCACTACGGGGGGATTGTAGTAGGGTGGTGGTCAAGCCCGGAGCCGGAGCCGCCTCCGAGGAGCAATACCCACCCAGCCCTTCCCTATTTGGGGTGTAGGCGCGGTCGGAGTCCGCGCCTTTAGGGGGGGGTACTGTCACGCTCTGGCTCCGGGACTGTGTATTTTGAGCCAGGGTGTGTTCATTTGGTTGTGTTTGGTATTGGTTGTGTTGTATTTGGTTGTGTTTCCTTGTTTGGTCGTGTGACTCCCAATCAGTGGTAACGAGTGTCAGCTGTCGGCTCGTTATCTCTGATTGGGAGCCATATTTAAACTGTCAGTGTTCACCTTAGTGTTGTGGGTTTTTGTTCCTTGTCAGTCATTATAACTGAGGACTTCACGATTCGTCATTGTTTGTTGTTTTTGTAGTGAGTACTTTAATTTAATAAAGTCATGTTCGCTCAACGCGCTGCGCTTTGGTCTCCCTCATTAGACGATCGTGACAATGTGACGAAGAAAATTTGATTTGAATTCGCTGGATGCAGGGGCTGGATGCAGGGGCTGGATGCAGGGGCTGGGTGCAGGGGCTGGGTGCAGGGGCTGGATGCAGGGGCTGGGTGCAGGAGCTGGGTGCAGGGGCTGGGTGCAGGGGCTGGATGCAGGGGCTGGATGCAGGGGCTGGATGCAGGGGCTGGATGCAGGGGCTGGGTGCAGGGGCTGGATGCAGGGGCTGGATGCAGGGGCTGGGGCGGGAACTGGGAGAGAAGTGTTCGCAGAGCTTAGTATTTAATAAAGTCCACGAGTCTCTGATCATCACTTAAAATAGTTTTTTTTTAAAAATCCATCTCAGGACCATGCCCATCTAGTTAGGGAGGTTTCTATGGGGATGAAGAGGTGCTGAAATCCCATGCTATTAAATTTTTTACAGTAGGGATTACATGGATTGAATGGTATTTTGTAAAGGAGGTCTGCTGCCATTTCTGGTGCTTTATTCTGATCCTGTCTCTCCTTACTGGGAGTGGGTTTCTGAGTCTGTGTGTGTGTGTCTGTGTGTGTCTGAGTCTGTGTGTGTGTGTGTATGTGTGTCTGAGTCTGTGTGTATCTGTGTGTGTGTGTGTCTGTGTGTTTCCGGTGCTTACTCTGTCTCTGTATCTGTTGTTTCAGGGAGCTGTCTGTGACTGTGTCTGTAATTATAGGGAGTAGTCTGTGACTGTGTCTGTAATTATAGGGAGCAGTCTGTGACTGTGTCTGTAATTATAGGGAGTAGTCTTTGACGGTGTCTGTAATTATAGGGAGTAGTCTGTGACTGTTGTTTCAGGGAATGGTATGTGACTGTGTCTGTTGTTTCAGGGAGCTGTCTGTGACTGTGTCGGTAATTATAGGGAGTAGTCTGTGACTGTGTCTGTAATTATAGGGAGTAGTCTGTGACGGTGTCTGTAATTATAGGGAGTAGTCTGTGACTGTTGTTTCAGGGAATGGTATGGGACTGTGTCTGTTGTTTCAGGGAGCTGTCTGTGACTGTGTCTGTAATTATAGGGAGTAGTCTGTGACTGCCTGTTGTTTCAGGGAATGGTCTGTGACTGTCTGTTCTTGTTTCAGGGAGAGGTCTGTGAACGTGTCGGAACCGGAGATCCTCCAGATGACTGTCAGTAACCTGAAGCCAGAGGAGACCTACTCCTTCCGAGTGGTGGCCTACAACGACTACGGCCCTGGAGAGAGCTCCGAGACAGTCAGACTCACCACACAACCAGAGTGTAAGCATAGATTAGCCCCGCTCAGCATTCACCCTGAGCGGAAATACAGCACAAGCCTGCCTAGTCCCACACAGGGCCCAAGTGTAAGCAATACTGACAGAACTTCACTTAGCCAGAGCACTGCCCAGTTTATAGTCAACACACAAATCGAAACAAATCAAATTGTATTGGTTGCATACACATATTTAGCAGATGTTATTGCGGGTGTAGCGAAATGATTGTGTTCCTGGCTCCAGCAGTGCAGTAATATCTAACAATTCACAACAATACACACGGATCTAAAAGTAAAAGAATGGAATTAAGAAATATATAAATATTAGGACGAGCAATGTCGGAGTCAGCAGTATAAATATATATAAATGTGATGGGATGTATAGACATTATGGACAGTATGTGGATATAATATTTAGTATATCTGAAGAATACGTAGATAGAATAGTATAGATACAGCAATAGTTAAATAGGATGCCCTTGACTAGAATACAGTATATACATATGAAATGAATGAAACAGTATGTAAACATGAGTTTAAATGTGAGTGTAAGGACAACCTGAGTGCTTAGTCCCACACACAGGCTTGGAACTACAGTACAAACCTTCCTACTGTCCAGTCCACAGTTATAAATAGTTATAAATACAGGACAGCCCTGCCTAGTCACAAAACCCAACCAGAGGTAAAGGTAAAGGACTGCCCACTGCTCAGTCAAAACCATGAAATGAACTGGTGTTCTAATGCGGGAGAGTAGCTTCCTAGTAATGAACCGGTGTTCTAATGCGGGAGAGTAGCTTCCTAGTAATGAACCGGTGTTCTAATGCGGGAGAGTAGCTTCCTAGTAATGAACCGGTGTTCTAATGCGGGAGAGTAGCTTCCTAGTAATGAACCGGTGTTCTAATGCGGGAGAGTAGCTTCCTAGTAATGAACTGGTGTTCTAATGCAGGAGAGTAGCTTCCTAGTAATGAACCGGTGTTCTAATGCAGGAGAGTAGCTTCCTAGTAATGAACTGGTGTTCTAATGCGGGAGAGTAGCTTCCTAGTAATGAACTGGTGTTCTAATGCGGGAGAGTAGCTTCCTAGTAATGAACTGGTGTTCTAATGCAGGAGAGTAGCTTCCTAGTAATGAACCGGTGTTCTAATGCAGGAGAGTAGCTTCCTAGTAATGAACTGGTGTTCTAATGCGGGAGAGTAGCTTCCTAGTAATGAACTGGTGTTCTAATGCAGGAGAGTAGCTTCCTAGTAATGAACTGGTGTTCTAATGCAGGTGAGTAGCTTCCAAGTAATCTGTACAGTTTCTCTGCAGCTCAAGTTTGCGCCTATTCCATCACGGCAGTTTCGGTTGTTTTGCTCTATGACACCCACAAGCTTTACGGCAGTCCTCTGAACTCCCTGTCACGGACGTTCTAATTTCGAAGAGGGCTTCTCACAAAACCAACTGTCCAGACCGAACCGTTGGAGCTATAAACTAACATGTCATCGATATGGAAAGGGGAGACTCACAAACAAGTGTAAGGTTGTTTCGCTCTACGATGCTCAAAAGCTTCAGGGGAGTCGTCTGAACGTAACCCTGTACCGGGCTGTAAAAACGTGCATGGTGGATATACAGTGCCGTGCATAACGTGACCAAACATGGGTCAAACATGATATCTGTTTGGGCTTCTTGCGGTCAATTTGCAGTCTACAAATTATTTGTAATTATGTTCCGTCCCCCTGACCATCTGCTCAAGAAAAAAATCGTCCCGCGGCTGAAACTAGTTGATGATCCCCGGTCTAGACCTGCATGGTGGAAGGGAGAACACAGTAACAACACATTCCTCATCTGCTGCCCTGTATCCAAATACAGTCACACACTAGTGCACCAGTAGACTCACAGATACGCACACACACATCTACACACACACACACATCTACACACACCACATTCTACACACACACACATCGTACAACACCCACACACCACATCACACACCACACATCACAACACACACACATCTACACACACCCCATCTACACACACACACACAGAACACACACACACAAACATCTACACAAACACACACACACACAAAACAACAGCACAACAAAACACACACAACACATAAAACCACACAACAGCACACACACCACAAATACTAAACACACACCCCCACACCACACACACAGCACAACAACACACACACACACATCAACACAAACAGCGACACACATCTAAACACACACACACAAAACACCACACCAACATCTACCCACACACAACACACAAAACACACACATCACACACAACATCTACAACACACACACAACACTACAAACACACACATCTAACACACACACACACAACACACACACACACAACACATAAATAACACACACACACAATCTACAAACACAAACAACACACATCTACACACACACACCACACACATCTACACACACTCACCACACATACATCTACACACACACACATCTACACACACACACATCTACACACACCCACATACATCTACACACCACACCCACCACATCTACACACACATCCTACACACACACACATCGAACACAGCACACATCTACATACACATCTACACACCACACATCTACACACACATCTACCACCCCACATCTACACACCACACATCTACATCACACACACATACATCTACACACACACACATCTACACACACACACATCTACACACACACACATCTACACACACCTACACACACACACACACATCTACACACACACCCATCTACACACACACACACATACATCTACACACACACACACACATCTACACAAACATCCTGATGCACCAGTACACTCTGACAACACAATCTCCATCTTTACTCCATGATTCTGAGCTGAGATCAGCTGCAGATTGCTCTCTATAAGGAGATGAATAAAACCCTACCAAACTAAAGGGGGGGTTGACAGTGGATTTAGGGTTTAGGGCACATCAAGTCTACTTTCATTCTTTCACTCTCTTTCTTTGTCACTTGCTTTTTCTTTCTCTCTGGGCTGAAGCAGCTTCTTTCTCTCCAGGCTGAAGCAGATTATTTCTCTCTGGTCTGAAGCAGATTCTTTCTCTCCGGTCTGAAGCAGATTCTTTCTCTCTGGGCTGAAGCAGATTCTTTCTCTCCAGGCTGAAGCAGATTCTTTCTCTCCAGGCTGAAGCAGATTCTTTCTCTCTGGGCTGAAACAGCTTCTTTCTCTCCAGGCTGAAGCAGATTCTTTCTCTCTGGGCTGAAGCAGCTTCTTTCTCTCCGGTCTGAAGCAGATTCTTTCTCTCCGGGCTGAAGCAGCTTCTTTCTCTCCAGTCTGAAGCAGATTCTTTCTCTCCAGGCTGAAGCAGCGTCTTTCTCTCCGGCCTGAAGCAGCTTCTTTCTCTCCAGGCTGAAGCAGCTTATTTCCTTGCCTGGTCTGAAGCAGCAGTATACACGGTGGTATTACAGCCAGTGGAAGCTGATTCAAATCTCCCCTAATCATTCCTTAGCTCTCCTCTCACTGGGGCCTCATCCGTCCAGCCTGCCAGATGACATTGTTCTATTAGACCTTGTGGAGGAGGAACATATACCATTCAAACGTCTGCAGCTCACCTTCTAATTCTGCTTTAATATTAACCTTTTAATATGGCACTTAAAATAACACCTTTAAAGGTACAATGCAGCTGTTTTTTTTATCTCAATATCAAATCATTTCTGGGTAACAATTAAAGGCCCAGTGCAGTCAAAAACGTGATTTTCCTGTGTTTTACATATATTTCCACACTATGAGGTTGGAATAATACCGTGAAATTGTGAAAATGATGATAATGCCCTTTTTAGTGTAAGAGCTGTTTGAAAAGACCAGCTGAAGACTGCCTGTTTTGGTGGGATGGAGTTTTGGCCTTCCATGGTGACATCACCATGCAGTAAATGACTTAATTTACCAATAAGGAAGAGAGTTTGAAACCTCTCTGCCAATAATAGCTAATTTTCAGTTTTTCCCTCCCCCTCCCCACTCAGACCACTACCAGAAAGTCCTAAAAAAATTATTGCTCTTTGTTCAGAAGCTTTTTTTTTTTTTTTTTTTTACCATTTTAATTGAAAAATAATCACAGTAAGGTACATAATTGTTACCCAGAAATGATTTGATATTGAGATAAAAACAACTGCATTGGACCTTTAAGTACCTTACTGCCATTGATTTAAATTACATTTGTCAAAAAATAAACAGATCTGTGATGTGTGTGTGCCTGATGTCTGTTTCTCTGTGTGTTCCTGTCGCAGCAGTGCAGGTCCCTGGGCCGGTGGAGAACCTCCGGGTAGAGTCCATCTCTCCCACCTCCATCCAGGCATCGTGGGACGTCCCATCCTACGCCAATGGTCCCCTGCTGGGGTACCGACTGCTCTGGACCGAGACACCCTCTGGGAAGGAACAGGTACATGGCTGTCATGGTCCAATCAACATCAGCCCAATCAGCCCACCTGACACGGCGGATCCACAGATGGAAGAGCCATATATAGAATCATATAAATAAACAGTCCAGAGCCATATATAGAATCATATAAATAAACAGTCCAGAGCCATATATAGAATCATATAAATAAACAGTCCAGAGCCATATATATAATCATATAAATAAACAGTCCAGAGCCATATATATAATCATATAAATAAACAGTCCAGAGCCATATATAGAGTCATATTAATAAACAGTCTATATCCATATATAGAGTCATATTAATAAACAGTCTATATCCATATATAGAGTCATATTAATAAACAGTCTATATCATATATATAATCATATAAATAAACAGTCCAGAGCCATATATAGAGTGATATTAATAAACAGTCTATATCCATATATAGAGTCATATTAATAAACAGTCCAGAGCCATATATAGAGTCATATTAATAAACAGTCTATATCCATATATAGAGTCATATTAATAAACAGTCTATATCCATATATAGAGTCATATTAATAAACAGTCCAGAGCCATATATAGAGTCATATTAATAAACAGTCTATATCCATATATAGAGTCATATTAATAAACAGTCTATATCCATATATATAATCATATAAATAAACAGTCCAGAGCCATATATAGAGTCATATTAATAAACAGTCTATATCCATATATAGAGTCATATTAATAAACAGTCTATATCCATATATAGAGTCATATTAATAAACAGTCTATATCCATATATAGAGTCATATTAATAAACAGTCTATATCCATATATAGAGTCATATTAATAAACAGTCTATATCCATATATAGAGTCATATTAATAAACAGTCTATATCCATATATAGAGACATATTAATAAACAGTCTATATCCATATATAGAGTCATATTAATAAACAGTCTATATCCATATATAGAGTCATATTAATAAACAGTCTATATCCATATATAGAGTCATATTAATAAACAGTCTATATCCATATATAGAGTCATATTAATAAACAGTCTTTAGCTCTGGGTCACATTAGTTCTCTGAAAGCAGTGAAGTCATTAGCAGCTTGAATTAAAGCTCAATAAGTGGTAAAAAATAAAAAATATTTTTTTTTTTTTTTTTTTTTACTTTGTTCTTCGTTTAAATAAACGGTGATAGAGAAGAGAGAGAGATTAGATGAAATTGGTATGTTGTGTGTTGCCTGTGAGTTGTTTGAAGTCCACCCAAATAGATGAACATTTCCTGTTTGCTGATGACACACACATAGATGTGATGTTTGATGTACTGATTACAGAATGGACATTGGACTCTTCTGAACATTTTTGGGATAAGCATCATCATCATAAATTGAGTAGAGAAGCCACTGACCATCACGATCATACGATTTTTTTTTTTTTTAACTGTCACAATTCTTTCATGCTTTTGGCATTTTGGTTATTTCCTTATTATTTGACGGCTATTTAAAGTAATCTCAGTTTGAAGCTGATAAAAAAGTTGAAATGTGATCCAGTTGTATAACACCCCTGTGGAGTGTTCTGTGATCTATCCATTGATGGTATTATACCTCACACTTCCTTTTGACATATCAATTAATTTCCCTCTCGTTTCCTCACTTCATCATGTAAATGGCTTATGATAAGAAAACACACTCTCCAACAAAGTACACATTTCAAAGTCAGCCAGCATATACAGTGGTGTGAAAAAGTGTTTGCCCCCTTTCTGATTTGTTATTTGTTTGCATGTTTGTTACACTTAAATGTTTCAGATCATCAAACAAATGTAAATATTAGTCAAAGATAACGCAAGTAAACACAAAATGCAGTTTTGAAATGAAGGTTGTTATTATTAAGGGAAAACAAAATCCAAACCCACACGGCCCTGTGTGAAAAAGTGTTTGCCCCCCCAGGAACAAATGAGAAAGAAAGTAATTGAGATCCCATCAGTCTGGAAAAGGTTATAAAGCCATTTCTAAAGCTTTGGGACTCCAGCGAACCACAGTGAGAGCCATTATCCACAAATGGCGAAAACATGGAACAGTGGTGAACCTTCCCAGGAGTGGCCGGCCGACCAAAATTACCCCAAGAGCGCAGCGACGACTCATCCAAGAGGTCACAAAAGACGCCACAACAACATTCAAAGAGCTGCAGGCCTCACTCGCCTCAGTTAACGTCAGTGTTCATGACTCCACCATAAGAAAGAGACTGGGCAAAAATGGCCTGCATGGCAGAGTTCCAAGACGAAAACCACTGCTGAGCAAAAATAACATTAAGGCTCGTTTCATTTTTGCCAGAAAACATCTTGATGATCCCCAAGACCTTTGGGAAAATACTCTGTGGACTGACGAAACAAAAGTTGAACTTTTTGGAAGGTGTGTCTCCCATTACATCTGGCGTAAAAGTAACACCTCATTTCAGAAAAGGAACATTACATTTACGTCATTTAGCAGACCTTCATTTCAAAAAAGAACATCATACCAACAGTAAAATATGGTGGTGGTAGTGTGATGGTCTGGGCCTGTTTTGCTGCTTCAGGACCTGGAAGACTTGCTGTGATAAATGGAACCATGAATTCTGCTGTCTACCAAAAAATCCTGAAGGAGAATGTCCGGCCACTTGTTCGTGACCTCAAGCTGAAGCAAACTTGGGTTCTGCAGCAGGACAATGATCCAAAACACACCAGCAAGTCCACCTTTGAATGGCTGAAGAAAAACAAAATGAAGACTTTGGAGTGGCCTAGTCAAAGTCCTGACCTGAATCCTATTGAGATGCTGTGGCATGACCTTAAAAAGGCAGTTCCTGCTCGAAAAGCCTCCAATGTGGCTGAATTACAACAATTCTGCAAAGATGAGTGGGCCAAAATTCCTCCACAGCTCTGTAAAAGACTCATTGCAAGTTATCGCACACACTTGATTGCAGTTGTTGCTGCTAAGGGTGGCCCAACCAGTTATTAGGTTGTAGGGGGCAAACCCTTTTTCACACAGGGCCACGTGGGTTTGGATTTTGTTTTCCCTTAATAATAACAACCTTCATTTCAAAACTGCATTTTGTATTTACTTGTGTTATCTTTGACTAATATTTAAATTTGTTTGATGATCTGAAACATTTAAGTGTGACAAGCATGCAAACAAAAAATAAATTAGGAAGGGGGCAAACACTTTTTCACACCACTGTACAGTTGAAATCGGAAGTTTACATACACCTTAGCCAAATACATTTAAACTCAGTTTTTTACAATTCCTGACATTTAATCCTAGTAAAAATACCATGTCTAAGGTCAGTTAGGATCACCACTTTATTTTAAGAATGTGAAATGTCAGAATAATAGTAGAGAGAATGATTTATTTCAGCTTTTATTTCTTTCATCACATTCCCAGTGGGTCAGAAGTTTACATACACTCAATTAGTATTTGGTAGCATTGCCTTTAAATTGTTTAACTTGGGTCAAACGTTTCGGGTAGCCTTCCACATCCTTCCCACAATAAGTTGGGTGAATTTTGGCCCATTCCTCCTGACAGAGCTGGTGTAACTGAGTCAGGTTTGTAGGCCTCATTGCTCGTACAAGCCTTTTCAGTTCTGCCCAGACATTTTCTATAGGATTGAGGTCAGAGCTTTGTGATGGTCACTCCAATACCTTGACTTTGTTGACCTTAAGCCATTTTGCCACAACGTTGGAAGTATGCTTGGGGTCATTGTCCATTTGCGACCAAGCTTTAACTTCCTGACTGATGTCTTGAGATGTTGCTTCAATATATCCACATAATTTTCCTTCCTCATGATGCCATCTATTTTGTGAAGTGCACCAGTCCCTCCTGCAACAAAGCACCCCCACAGCATGATGCTGCCACCCCCGTGCTTCACGGTTGGGATGGTGTTCTTCGGCTTGCAAGCGTCCCCCTTTTCCCTCCAAACATAACAATGGTCATTATGGCCAAATAGTTCTATTTTTGTTTCATCAGACCAGAGGACATTTCTCCAAAAAGTATGATTTTTGTCCCCATGTGTAGTTGCAAACCGTAGTCTGGATTTTCTATGGCGGTTTTGGAGCAGTGGCTTCTTCCTTGCTGAGCGGCCTTTCAGGTAATGTCGATATAGGACTCGTTTTACTGTGGATATAGATACTTTAGTACCTGTTTCCTCCAGCATCTTCACAAGGTCCTTTGCTGTTGTTCTGGGATTGATTTGCACTTTTCGCACCAAAGTACGTTAATCTCTAGGAGACAGAACGCGTCTCCTTCCTGAGCGGTATGACGGCTGCATGGTCCCATGGTGTTTATACTTGCGTACTATTGTTTGTACAGATTAACGTGGTACCTTCAGGCGTTTGGAAATTGCTCCCAAGGATGAACCAGACTTGTGGAGGTCTACAATTTGTTTTCTGAGGTCTTGGCCGATTTCTTTTGATTTTCCCATGATGTCAAGCAAAGAGGCACTGAGTTTGAAGGTAGGCCTTGAAGTACATCCACAGGTACACCGCCAATTGACTCAAATGATGTCAATTAGCCTATCAGAAGCTTCTAAAGCCATGACATCATTTTCTGGACTTTTCCAAGCTGTTTAAAGGCACAGTCAACTTAGTGTATGTAAACTTCTGACCCACTGGAATTGTGATACAGTGAATTATAAGTGAAATAATCTGTCTGTAAACAATTGTTGGAAAAATTACTTGTGTCATGCACAAAGTAGATGGCCTAACCGACTTGCCAAAACTATAGTTTGTTAACAAGAAATTTGTAGAGTCGTTGAAAAACATGTTTTAATGACTCCAACCTAAGTGTATGTAAACTTCCGACTTCAACCGTAGAGGAAAACAAAGAGCTATATTTGAACAGCTGCTTAGAGGTTGACGTACAGCTAACCACATTGCTCCACTTCTGTTGTGTCAACAGCAAATGAAAGATGTTTATCATACTCTGTTTGTTAAGCTGTATATCTATTTCATGTCTTCCTGGAAGGGACTACACGCTATG